TTGCGGTACGTGAGCCTCTCACTACTGTGGCCCCTCCCGTTGCGGAGCACAGGCTCCGGACGCGCAGGCTCAGCGGCCACGGCTCACGGGCCCAGCCGCTCCGCGGAACGTGGGATCCTCCCGGACCGGGGCACGAACCCGCGTCCCCCGCATCGGCAGGCGGACTCTCAACCACTGCGCCACCTGGGAAGCCCCAACCATTTTTGACCTATAAAAATGGCAGTTTCATATGGTCCAACTTAATAGTTCAAATATAAATTATTCTTATCTCTTTTGCTAGATAATTGTATGCATCATTCCCTCCAAATATGTGTGTACAATGATACTTATTGGTGCTATTTTGCCGATGAATTTGTTATCTAAATAATTTGCAACATACTACTATTATATGTTAATCGTAAGAAAATTATGTTATTTTTTAAGTTTGCATATTTTTTCTGCGATCCAAGATCCTGATTAAGTTCATATTCTTTCTTTATGAGTTGTTCTTTCATGTTCCTCTCCAGTTCTTTATCATTACCTGATTCCTTTTTCGCTGCGAAGTGGTTATGGATAGGACATATGGACCTCCCGGTCTTTTGTGTCACCTGTATAGACCCTGGTCAAAGAAGATTGAAAAGCACGACTTTATGGGCTAAAGAGGTTTTTCAAGTCCCACAGCTAGTAAGTGTGGATTAGGATTCAGATCCAAGCCCGCTTGCCTTGCAGATGGAGGATGTGATGCATATTTTGGTAAATGGCATCAATTACACCCCTGTGGCTTCCTGGACAAGAAAACCCAAGCTACCTTGACTGCTCTTTAGAGAAATTAGGACGCCAACATTTACTGAGTGGCTGCTGTTTGCCAGTCACTCTGTTCAGTCTGTTAGGTCCAACGTCATTTAATACAGCAATAAACCCTCTGAGGTTGGTATCATGAATCCATACAGGTGGAGAGATAGGTTCACAGGCTTGAATACTAATGCACTATTGCAGAACAGGTAGGTAGGTGGTGAGAGCAGAGAGCAAACTTCAAAGCTCATTTGATTGTTCACTGCACTGCCTCTTCTTCCTGCCCCACATCCTCAACCTCCCGCCCCTATATTCATCATCGAATCCTATGGGTTCTACCTAAAAAATGACTCTGGAATCTGTCTCTCCACCATCTTCACTACCACTGCTCTAACACTGTCTCTCCCGTGGACAAATATGCAGCAGCCTCCAAGCCTCTGCCCCGTCTCAGACCCTCCCCATCCTGCTGTACGGCCTCCAACTTGCTCCACAATCCCATACACAGATCTGATCATAAGCCACCTCTTCAGTGGCCCTGCAGTGCTTGCAGGGCATAAAACGAAAACAGTCCAGTTTTCCAACCTACCTTCCTGGCCTTGTCTGCCAAAACTCTCTACTCCCAACCCTCACTCCACTGCCTCTCCAGCCCCTCCCACCCCCTCTAACACCCATGACTTCTCCAATCCAGTTCCTGGTCCTCCATGTAGTTGCTACTCAGGGCACCTGAAGGGACTTTTTTTTTTTTTTTCTTAACCTACCTGCCAGTTCTCCACCTGGCAAATTCTTCTTCCCTCAAGGCCAATTCCAATGTCAGTGCTTGTGGGAGAACCAGCCCAGACTCTCCTTGGCAGTTCCTAGCTTCTCCTCTTTATATCCATCCACAGGACTCTGTACACATTTTTAATTAGACCGTTTCCGTTGAATGAGAGCTGGTTGTTGAAATGTCTAATCTATTTTTCCCACTTGATAATGAGCCCCCAGGGGATAAAGATCGTGTCATATTTATCTTTGGATTGCCGGCATTCAGAAAAGTGCTTGGTATAAAGTCAGCACTCAATAAATGTTCATTCATGTATGAATAGTCTCTCACGCACGTAAGAGCATCCTGAGAAGCTGTTCAGTACAGCAGACTGAAAACTGAACTAGAAGGAAGGATGCTTGGATTGTAGTCTGGGCTCACCTACCAACTGGCTGTGTCACCAGGGATAGCACTGATCTGGGTCTCAGTCTCCTCACATGTAAAAGTGGGGGACATCTGAGTGCCTTTCCAGGGTTCACATCTAACGATGCAAAGGACTTGACGGCTTACCCCTAAAAATATCTTTTTTCTCACTGAAAGGGAAAGACCTTATACCTCTTCCAAGAAGAGTCATGGCGCACAACCAGGAGCTTCTAGCCAAGACCCCCATCATCAAGTTCAGGCAAGAGGACTTTTACTCCTTGCGGGATTATTGCCTAAACAGAGGCCTGCTGTTTGAGGATGAGACATTGCCTGCTGAGACTTATTCCATAGGTCTACAGCTGCTCAAGGGAAAAAACCTCTCCAGCCTAAGCTGGATGCGGCCAAAGGTAAGTGAACCTCCTCTCTAGGGACGCACCCAGCTCCTGGACCCTCTGACATGGTGCCTCCCCCTGAAATGAGGGGCCTGAGACCTGGTTTTCAGGGCTGGCCCAAACCAAACTGGAAGGAGACTGAAGTTCATCTGGTCCCTCAGCTACAGAGTTGTATCCACAGTGGGATGGAATGACCCTGTACCAGGAAGCAGGACCCCAGTTCTAAGACAGCATGTCACTAGATTACATGCCTCAGGAGTCCCACATAAAAAAATGGGAACGCATGGGTAGGAGGATTGTAGTAGTAGCTGTGGGGTCTCTTCAATCTCCGTAAATGAGCCCCTCTGTCAGTCTTCTGTCATACCTTCATTCTGTCAGGTATCACTGTCTTTATCTTTTTTCTTTCCTTATTAGAATTTACTCAAAGGGAAGATAACATGTCAGTCACTTATATAATAGGATGAATTTCAACAATTGCCTTGCCTCTGTCATGCATATTTGTATTTTCAATCTTGTAAAGGCCGATCACCTATAAAAGAGTTGTAAACATCAGCTGTAAAATTAGGGACGTATTTCATGGCAATGTTCAACCCCCCCGACTCCCCCACCCCAGAAGACGACCACTAACTCCACCTTGAAACCAGTTGAGCCCTGTTGGCTTTTCTAGAACTATCTCAGTTTCAGGGCATGAAGCTCCAAGGGAAATTTCTCAGCCCACTAGACATTCTCATAATATCATTTTCATTGACGCAAAGGACCTGGTTAAGGGCCACTTTGAGGGCCCTGATGCTCAAACCTCCTGTTCATGCTTCCAAAAGCAGCCAGCAGAACCTAGAATAAGAGGAAAGAATATAATGTCTAGTAAGCTAATGATTATGATTTCAGCAAGCATTACTGAATGCGAATGAAATGCCAAGCACTCTGTGCAACACACTCAGTAAAGCCAGGTTAGGTTATACAGAATAGGTATATTCTGATGACATAGAACAAGATGGAAACTCTAGAGGTAACAACTCTTGTCCTAACTCAGGACCAACTTGTAGCTTTGGGGAAGGGGAGGGTGAGTGGGGATCAGGTGGGGCTTAGGATGCTACTTAGTTAAGATGGGGGTGCTTCAAGCTTCTAGAATCCATCTTACCATCCAGAGGCAGTAAGTCCCCAACAATGACTCCCTACTTCTGGACTTCACTCCTAAGGAGAGCGGAGCAGAGAACTCTATTTAAAGCTTGGAAGGATTATATTTTTCTCCCTTTGTTATTTTCAGATGAGGTTCTTTTAGAATGTTTTTTTTTTTTTTCACAAGGTACTGAGCAATAGATGTGAGACCATATTTATAGTGTTAAAGAATTTATAACATTTTTATTTAGAAATGGTTGAGAGTTTTTTATTATCTAATTCCAGCAACATCTCAAATTGTGATGTCTTTTGAGGTCCAGGAGAAACTGAGGCAAACAGAAATGAAATGACAGAATCATTCCAGGAACCCAAAATAGAGGCAGCCAGGGGCCAGATACTTTTTACTCCCGTTCTTCTTTTACCCATCCAAAGGCTCTACCAGGGGGTCATTTTTCATTCCAACATTTCTTTTATAATGTATACGTGGATATGTCATATCTCTTTGTATCCCTTATCACAACTGTCAGCACTTACGCTTGTATAGTATTTTCCAGAGCTTTCCATGTGTCTTGTCTTACTTTGTCTCATGTTCTTTCCCAGTTTTATGAGAGAATAGGTTCAGACAGGTGATGTGACTTGCACAATGTGACAAGTGAGGGAA